GAAGAATTACAGTTTTTAGCACTTTGATGATGTTTCATTTTTCCGCCACACAGGTTGCTGCATGTTTATTTTTATGTTTGTTCATTTGAGTATCTTGATTTCTGGAAAAATGACATTGCTGCTGCATTTTTCATGGTTTGAGCACTGCAAGTCCCATATATTTCCAGTTACAAAAGACAGATATCTCTACAGATGGTACCTTTTTTAAATCGGCTAACTCACAGCAAAAGAATTAAGATGGAAAAATAGCACAGGGATAAACATACGTATTTGATTTTGTTAGCGATAAAATGTGAAAAAAAGTGAAACGTCTGAGCTTAATGTTGATTCAACACTTTTAGGCATCATCTGATGATGCTGCATGGGGTCCCAGGTTTTGTAGACAGATGTGACTAACTTCATCTCACCAATGAAGTTAGTCAGGACTCGTATTCATAGATAATCAAAACTGCATATTTTCATATTGTCGGTAATATATAGTTTAATGTTGATTATTGAAAAAAAAAAAAACAACTTCAAATGTTCACAAAGACTGACAGGATTTCTAAGGTTATTCTTTAAAAGGTTTTCTTTAACTTACCTTTACATTACCTTGGCCTTGGCCTCCAGTACTACTATGAGGAACCTTGGGGTCATTTTTGGCCAGGATGTTTTCAGGTTGTTTGAAAAGCCCCCTGAGAAGCCTGTAGTGTTAGGATGCCTGGGTCGTTGACCCAGAGGTTTGAGTTTATTATATTATTTATCATTTCTAGTCTTTGGTTTCTTTGTCTGTGTTTTGTCTTATGGTTTACGTCTCGGTTCCCTCTGTTGCAGTGCCTGCGTGTGAGTCTGTGTCTTTAGTTCAGTCTGTGTTGTTTCCTGTTTTATTTTGAAGGTCCATGTCTGATGTTAATGTATCTGGTTTTGCTTCCCCTGTTTCGTTAGGCCTGATTTGCCCCAGCTGTGTTTCCCTCCTGTTACCCATTCCCTGATTGCTCCCTCTGTGTATTTAAGCCCTGTCTTTCTCTGTGTCTGTGTTGTGATGCTGTGTGTTCTGTCTGCTTGCCTGAGTTTATTTGGAGTCTCAGTTTTGTTACCTTTTTTGAGTTCGGCATTAAAGCTGTTTTGAGTTTACATTGTGCCTCCGAGCGTCTGCACTTTGGGTCCCCCATTCCTGCCTGCACACAGCCTGCACGTAACATGTAGTTGATCTAAAATGCTGCAATGAAGGTATAAACAAGGAGTTGAAAGACAAAATGTCCCGAATGATCAGGCTATTTCTATTTTCAGATCAGGCTTCAAACTTTCCTTTTTGATAAAGTTTATATTTAGGGCTGGATCAGGTGACCCTGCACCATTTTCTTAGTTATGCTACTACTGCTGGGATACTTCCATTGATGTACTGGGCAGTTCTGCCAGTCTCCACAGGTTTAAATGGCACTATTGCATGTCATTAACATCTGTCTACTCCCTTGTTGTTTGTATTCTGTCCCTTCTGCCATCCCTGTCAATGGACAGTTAACTGCTGGTTCTGTTGGACATGTCTTCCTGTTAAAATAAAAGTTCTTTATCCCCACTGTTACCAAGCTCTTGTTAACCAGGACTGATACTGTAGGTGCAAGAACACCAAGGACAAAGGTGTGTGTCCCGCTCCTCTGCTTGCAGAGTTTCTCTTCTGTTTCTGTTTCTTTGTATGTCTCTAGACAAAGATGGTATTGCTTGTATGGTTAAAGTAAACATACTGACTGTCTTTTTCTTCTGTTTTCATGTTTTTCTTATTTTCATTTGCTGTGATTCTGTGCAGTGTGCTTCCATTTTTATGTAATCTCTCCTAGATTCAGTACTGCCTCACTGACTCCCCCCCCCACACATAGTAAGATGTATATTTCCACTGATTACAACAGAGTTCATATGATGTAAATGGTTGAAGATCAAATATCCACCATAATATATGATAATCAGTTTATAAGTGAAACAAAATTTCCAATCAACATTTCAGCATCTACATTTCAAATTTTCTTTTACATAATTAATGTGTGAATTACTGTAAATTCCCCTTTTAAATGAAAGAACTGGCAACTGCATTTACCAGCATTACACTGGTCTCTACAATGATAGGTTCTCACTATAAGAAAAAACACAGTTTGAAAGGTGTGGCGTGGGTGTGGTCTCTGGCCAGCTGCAGAGGAGGGGTGATGCAGTGAGCTCCCGGGGCGGCGCAGGGGTAGGGTGAACAGGTGTGCTAGGATCTGACAGTGATTGTGTCTCTTTATATGTTGGCAGTGACAGTCGGAGGGGGGAAGCGGACATGACAGCAGAGACAGAGCGGGAGTGTCTGTGTCCCAGTAAACAAACCACAGTATTAAATAAAAGTTCTGCTGTCATCATATCAAAGTCAACTTTATTGTCAATTCTGCCACATGTACAGGACATACAGAGAATAGAAACTTCGTTACTCTCAATCCCTAGATAAAATAGAAAATGAACATTTAAATATAAGAGTGATTAAAAATGCAAGTAAAATATTTTAAAGTAAAAAAAAATTAAATAAAATTAAATAATATAATACAATTTTACATATAACAAGAAAGCTATACAATATACAATATAAGGGTAAATGACATTGAGTGCAAACCAGGCAGAGTAGTGCAAATAGGCAAATAGTGCAAATGGAGATTTGGTAATGTACGGTAAGAGATAGTGTAACAACAAAGTCTTATGAGGTAGTGGCAGTCCAATGCTCCAGCGTATGTTTCTTGGGTCCCACGTTACAAAAGGTTTATCATATAATCCTGATAGTTGTTGGATTACCATTATACTGTAATTTTATAGACCTTTTTGTAAACCCCATAAATCATTGTAAAATGAATGAACGTAATCTAGATCTTTATTTATATATATAAAAAAAACCTGCATTTTTCACCCTGTTGTCAGATTTCTTGACATCATCGCTGTAGTCTGAACTTATTATTTCTCTCTTTCTTGTGACTCGTATTTTTAAAGTAATTTCTCACAATCAGCAGGTCCAGCATCCAGCCTCTGGTTGAGAGACTGAATATTCTTTAGCACACAGGCCAAAGTACTGCAGTGCTGCAGGATCGGGTCAAAGCTCTGGTTCAGCACACTGGAGAACCTTCAGCAGGTGATGTACTAGACTCCACCTAAACTGAGGTGTGTTACTACCTAAACTAAGGCCATTTTATCTACAGAAATAACAGTATTTTCTAATCCACTCAGAGAACGCCATTATTAACAGGTTTGAAAGCCAGTCAATTCGAGTCAATTTGCTATTTAAAATTTTTTAAATAATCCTTTAACCCTCATCTGTGGATTCAGTGACCAATCCTTAGAGCCGTAATTAAATTAAAAAGGCACTCATCTGTTCAAGCACAGCAACCTTTAGGTTTCGAGAAAAAATCTCCTCCACAAGCATGTAAAGAGGTAGCAGATGTTTTTATTTTTCATGTCGACAGTTTTAGCAGAGATTGAAATACATAGCAAAAATGTTTTCATTAATATGTTCACAACAAGCTTCCGAAGCAATGCACTGTAAAGATGTGCTGCAATAATGATTTTTAACACTTAAGGCAGTTTGTTATTGAAATACTACAGTTTATGATAAAAAGGCAATTCTAATAAGTTTAAGTGAACAACATTTTGTGTGCTTTCTCTTTGTAATCATCTCACATCATAACAGAAAGGAAGGAAAAATACATCACCTTCCACATGCCCTCCATTTATGGGCCTGGACTCAATCCTTAAACAAAAGACATTTAAATATAGATATCATTCTGAAACAAAATAGAATATAAACTCTTGACAATAGCAAAGAAAAAGGCTGATATCCTTTCCATCTTCCCAGTAGCATTGGTATTTTGCATGCTACGAATGAGTTTTATTGCAAACAGTACAGTATGGGTCCCAGTTATAATAAAAATTAAGCTTGTGATCCAAACTTATGCCATTTCTAAATTGGGATAAAGGTTTACACAACCTCCTTTTATTCTAATAGGTCTGCTGCACACAATAGTAAGGCATCAGAGTGCTTCGCTTTCTATGGAGGAGACTGGAGGACTTTACTTTTTTAAAATGTAGTGTCTCAAAAGAAAATCTGCGTGCCCTGAAAAAACGTACAGACATGACTTAGTCCTGCAGCTTGTGTCACACAGCAATGAGGGAGACAATGATTTGTTGTCCTTTTAAACAACAAACAACAAAATCACTAGTCTTCCATGCTGCTGTGGACTTCCACATCCATACAGTTAAGGGATTCACCTCTTTCACCCATCACGCAGCTTCTTTCTTTAACTTCAAATACAATAATTTTCGTTCCTGATGCAAAAAGCATCAGTTAAATAATCACAGGGTTAAGCAGCTAAGTACATCTGAATGAAACACAGTTAACACTGTTGGGTTCTTCTAGTCTTGATGTGTCACTGCCAAGTTTTGGGTCATACTCAAGGTGGCCTCCTTGAGCTAACATACAATCCAAATCTTCCTGTGAAGACAGGCGCGGGCTGAAGGAGCTTTCAGGGAAACCACCTTCAACCCAAAGTTTCCTCAGTTGAAGGCCGGAGCTTCACAGCAGAACTGGCTGTGCTTGGCGGCCTTCTCCTTGTGCTCACAGAGATTAAATGATTCAGTTGGCAGCCTGTCAAGAAACCATCTGTAAAAGTGCTTGAAACCAGTATCAAAAGAAACACGGTTAAAAAAAAAAAAATAGACAAATTGTGTGGGTTATTATTTCAATTACTGCAGTTATCTCTGTGTGACCATTATCTTTCATCTGCCATTTTTCGTATTTGAAAGCAGGAATCACAAAGCCTTCATCTTACATCTCTGCTGGCTTGAATACAGAATTTCATTCCTTTTTGACTCTAACTTGTATTATTAAGTACAATTTTACTCCTGCAGTTTCTCTCTCTTTAAATATGGAACTAGCGGAGGGTTAAGTGTTTGCGAGCGTGATGTTCTGGAGAAAGGACGAGGCCAAAAGGATGGACGAAGGCACAGAGGTTTGAGGCAGCGCCCGGGGTCACCGTCAGGGTTATCTGCCGGGTACAAACTGTGTGATCCAAGGCTCAGCGCGGCTCCTGACCACCCTGCAAGCTGAAACAGAGAGAAAACACCCTCTAACCAGCTGCCGCGTGGTGTTCATATGTACCAACATCAACATGAATAAACTCAGCTGTCCATCAGCAATGTGACTGCAAGAAATGAATGGCATTTCAGAACGTAAGGACTCCTCTGAAATGATATGAATAGATTTGAAACATTTAGCACAATTGGAAAAAAAATCCCTTCTGATTAAAAGCAGCTTCACAACAGAGTACTGTAAAATGCTGCAGTGTGAAGGAGAGCAGCAGTGTGCCTGGTAATTGCTTTAAGTCTATTTTTAAGGAAAAACTTTCAAATCTCTGCTCAAATATCAGACGAAGCTTCTATTCTTATCACGTAATGAACAATTCATAGAAAACAGGATATTCCAATATTTTCTTTCATTGTTTAGACCAAACTAGAAAATAATCTCCAGATTAATCGATAAGAAAGCAGGAACAAACGCAAACACTGAGGCTGTGTGATCCGTCGCCACAGGATTTTCTTCATTTTCTGTCAGTTTTCGTTAAATACTTTAGGAATCTGAAAAATATGTGTGTTATTTTCCATGAGAAAGAAAAACAACACCTTTATCTCCCTGAATCAACCAACTGCATTAATTTAACGCTGCACTCTGTTCCACAAAGTCAACAAAGTCTGCGGGATGCAGGGAAGTTTGTTTTTTTTAATGTCATTGATAATGATCAATAATTTAACATCAGTAGGAGCATTTTGGACCTCTGCAGTCAGCTTTTGAGGGCGGACGGTCTTTTCTTATTGGCAAATTGCCATTTTGTTAATGCTTTAGCTGCATAGGCACATATTACAGCAATGGAAACATTGCGGTTAATGAATTACACGGGCATGTTAGACGCTCGTGTTATTTAAGACCATCGCTTTGACTTTATTTGTTATATTAGAGCAAAAAGCCTATATATTTAAATGCTTGCAAGGGAAAGAGAGCCGTTTGCTGTGAGATTATCCTCTTTAGTTCAAGCTGATAAAAACAGTTAAATGGCTCAAATCTTGATTTTTTTTTTTCTGCCCCTTCAATTTGTGTAAAATTTCAGTGTGTAAACTGATTCCAAGTACGTTTAAATCCCACTATTTATGCAGAGAATGTAGTAAGTATTTACTGAAACTTGAGAGCACATCAGCCAATAGCGCTGCCATCTCACCAGACCATCTGAGTGTGTGTATGTGTGTGTATACATACAATGAAACCTGATTCGCTTGAGTGTGTATGGGTTATACATGTACAGAGTGTAAGATGCATGCCAGTCTTAGGTGTGTGTGTGTCTTAGACAGTATTATTAGTGCATTTAAGCACCTCTCATAGTGAATAAGTGAGAATAGCCTGATTTGTCAGGATGTTACATCTCTGTGCAGCAATTTGATGCCAAATGCGAGGATGCAGACACAGAATGGACCAGTTGCACAATTGAAAATCAATAAGAGAAAGTCGGTGACATTGACACACAATGGCAAGATAGTCACAAATTATTAGTCTTTGGAAAAGCAAACCTAGATTTCTGCAACGGAAAGGCTAAAAACCCAAATTATTTAAAAAAGCGACAAACGAAAGATAAGAAAAACAATACAAGAATATTCAGTGTAATGAGACACGGATTTCTTTCACGGTAAAATTGGTGGCACTTACCATTTCTGAATTAGACACCTGGGGTCATCCACAAGGGCGTCGATTCCTGGCGCACAAAAAAAAAAAAGAGCAATTTCACTGCACGAAGAGAAGGAAGGTGGAAAAAAACCTTTACTTTATAAAGGAGAATTGAAAAAAATTTCAAAGGCTCTCAGAAAAGATGCTGAAATGATTGAGTTGGGGGGGCGGGCGGTTGAGAAAATGGAAGCGTTGAGGGGGCCAATCGGTGAGATCTAAAGACAACAGAGTCTGTATTGGCCTCTGAGGAAAAAGGCACAGTCTGTCTCCATTGCCCAGTGGAGAACACTGATAGATGTGTTTTTGCTGGCATGGGTTATGTTTTTACTCAGGACTGACAGACAGACAGCCCCCATGCACACAGGTGCTATTCAAGGAAACTGTGTAAAAGTGACGTCACTGAGAAAAATCTAGCCCATAAACCTTTTCAGCACTTAAGCTCCGCCCACTACATGTTGCTCTGTTCATATTTTTTTCCCATTTTCTCCATTTTTCTCTCTCTGTATCTCCACATCTCTGCGCTCTTTGTCTGACTATCTTTGTGGGTTTAGCTCTCGCTTTATCAGCCTCTCAGTCCATAAAGTGCATTTCAACAAACTAGGAGGCCATAAACACTTGCAGTAAACCTACAACTAATCTCTTTATCTTTCCATTCCTGTCTTCATCAATCTCTTTATCTGCCTCCATCTCTCTCTCTTTCTGTCTCACACACACACACGCACACACACTATAGGTTGAACACACTACACTATACAAATCACTGAGTGTTTGTTTTCATTCCTCGCCAGCACAATATGTTTGTTGGGCTTTTGTAAAATGCACGCAGCTCCTGATGTGAAACCAACAAACGAAGCTTACCCTAATTTTCATAACCCTCCAATTTGGAGCGAGGCTGCCTCTCTCGCTCTCTCTCTCTCTCTAATGCTGAAACACCACTTTGTGAAATTACAGTACAATTTTGAAAAGTAGAAACAGGCAGCAGGCAATTCAGGTGCTCAGCCTCCGCAACAATGGACTGCTGGCCTTGGTGATGGTTGCTAGGCAATGGAGGAAATACAATGGCCTCCTCTGAAACCAAAGGCCCTTAAGTGGACTGACAGGAGCGAAGGCACACACACACACACACACACACACACACACATATATATATACGAACTCACAAAACGGAGCGATGCAGGGAGGAGGAGAGTGCAAGTGAAGCCGTGCACCTCTATGCATAGACGCTCGACCGGAATATTGCAGTTACCTGCTCCTGACCGGGTTGATCAGGCAGGAATCTGTTGGTATTTGGAAATCAAATCCACGGATACGTCCTGGACACATCTGTGCATATATGAACCGTGCCACATGCACGTACTGAAAACACAAGTTGAGAGGTCTTTCTGTTTTTGCACACAGCTTGGGAAAACCCGATAGTGGCAGATAATGTTTCAGACAGAGCGATGTATTGACCAATCACATGGTCAATACAGCAACAATCAGTCTGGCAGGCTGTCTGCCCCTCCATCTGTCTATTATTTTTCCTTATCCACCGCTCTGTCCTTGCATATCACCATTTACCTGCTGCCTCTCTCATCAAACATCCACCCAATCAACCAGCTAATGAATCAATAATCTGAACATAGTCACCACTTCAGGGAACGTAAACTTGCTCAAGTACTGTACTTGAGTACAGTTGTGAGCTACTCACTCCCTTATATAGTGTATATCTAACACTTCACCTATGCAGATTCAGAATACGATAACAATTAGGATTTCCCCAGGAGGGAATTTAGACATTACTCTCAATCATTTGTCACAGTTCAGGGGAAGTTCCTCAGTAGATCCAGCGGTTAACACCACTGTATCGCAGGCTAGTAGCAATATAAAAGGATCTTTTATCCAGGCTCATGGTAGGACAAAATATTAAAACCAGGAAACTTTCCAAAAGATAACCAGAATAACAAAAGGTAAAGAAAACAATAGAGGATTTGAAAAAAAAAATGGAGGGGAAAAAATGTGATGATCTTATAGAGATCAAGGTTGTAGGTGCTGAAATGGCGTTTTCTGTTCTGGAGTATTTATTCACGATAACATTGTCCTGTGTGAGCAGTTTGGACAGGCACTACAAAGAGGTTGAGTGTGTGTTCACCGCTGCCTGATAAATGCAGTGCATGGCTCATTAAAAGACGTTTAATTGTAATAAAGAAGAATTGTAAAAATAAAATAAACACAATTTATGATTTATGGTTCTTAAGGGAAAAAAGTGGATTCTGTGTTTGTATCTCACCCTCAGTTTCCTCTGTGGTCTTCCGCTTTTCCCCCAGCCTAGCAGCTCCATCTTTGACATCCTTATATATTCATGATCCCTCCTCTGCACATGTCCAAACCTTCTCAGGCTCACCTCTCGAACTTTCTCTCCAAACAGTTCAACCTGAGCTCTCCCTCTGTATGCATGTCTCCCTGTATACTCATTTCTAATTCTGTCCATCCCACAGAACACTTCCAGCTGTCTTTTTCTTTGTGCCACAAACCACACATCATAGCAAGTCTCATTACCAGCTCATAAATCTTTCCTTTGACTCTTGCTACCATTCTGACACTGGTCTCCACCCACTCCAGCCTACCTGTATGCTCCTCACCTCTCTTGTGCACTGTACCTTGACCCCAGGTATTTAAACTTGTTTTGCTCTCTAATCTCACAATTGATCACAAAGTTGTCTGTGAACATTATAGTCCACAGAGACTCCCTTTTTTGACCTCATCTGTCAATCACTATTGCAAGGTGTAACCTCAGCCCCATCTGTCACTCCTACTGCACACCACTACTGTCTCACTATCCTCATACATGGCCTGCATCAACGGCATACTTTCCTGCCACTCCTGGCTTTAGTTCCAAAGCTAATGGAATATGAAACAGGAATAAAATCAATGCATACAAGACAACTTCAGAATACTATCTAAAGGCTGAAACCTTATCAATGTGCACATCTCAAATATGCAACAAAATATGTCCCCACGCCCCAAACAAACAAACAAACAAACACACATGCACGCACAATCTTTTAGTCTTTGCCAGGATACAGGTGGGTTTTATCTCCATCCGCCCTTGTTCATTACTTCTTAGCGAATGAGTCAGTGTTTGACTGATAGCAGCTGGACGGCTGAAAGCTCTGCAGGAAAAAGGAAACAAGAGCGAAAAATATATTAGCAAAGTTGGCTGAAGTGTGAAACTCCAAACTTCTGTTTAGACTTTCTGGTTTTTGAAAGAGCCACAACAACTTTTAAACGGACTGAAGTGACATTTGCTGGCGAGTTTTCAAGCTGTGCTGCAGCGGAGTAGCTAATTAGCTATCAAGTCTGCTAAGTGACAGCAGCAGTGCCTTTCCCTCAGTGAAGGTTTGTTTAGTGGCAGTTTTATTTGAACGGGAATGTCAAGAAGTGTGCTCATATTTGTAAGTCGATAGGAATATTATATTATTATTTTACATTAGGATGTTATTACCACATGATGCTGCTGTTCAAAGGTCGCGGTTCTTGATTGAGTGGTAGCAGGCTACCAGAGGCCTACACTACAAAGCAGGATTTAATCTTATCCGGGTACCTTTAGGGTTAAGTCCGGGTTTTCAGTACGACGAAGGTGATTCAGTTTTTTACCGGGTATATCACCATGGCAACTTATGCTACAAACTAACCTGTTTCGGAGGTGACGTTACAAATGTCTTTTATTTTTTATTTTTTAAACCTGTCCTGTAGGCAGAATCATGGTCTGAATGCTTTGTTGTGCCAAACACATTTGCTTTTCCAACACTCTCTGTAGACTCTCTCTTCTTAATGTTTCTATTTTATTTATTAAGTTTATTTTATTATTCATATTATTGCCTGTGGGGATATTATGCTGGAGCGGACTGGGGGTGAAGGCCAGATTGGCTAAAAGAAGAGGAAAGCAGAGGAATAGAAGAAGAAAAGGGACAGAACAAAAAAGAGAAAAGGAGGAGGGTGAAGCAAACAGACACGCTGGGCCACTGCTGCAGACCGAGCTCTCACCCAGGAGAGCTGACAATCTGAGGGTACACGTCCTGATGCCTGAGCTCCCACAGTCAGAGAGCTGATATTTTTTTGTATCTACAATAAATACAAAAAATGGCACAAACAGTCACAACGCACAGCGCAAGTGTTTTTTGGGGAGACCGTAACATGACAGGACAGTGGCAGAAGCCAACAGTAAGCAGCTAATGTATCTACAGTATTATTTGACTTATCATTAAAACACATTATATTTCATGTCTTTTTCCCTCACAACACTCATAATTCTCTGCTTCTTTGTTTCTCAGTACAGTCTTTCACATGTTTTGGTTTCTGTCATTTTCACAGCTGTTCCTCACATTACTGTCTCCCCCAAAAATACTTAAATTGTGTTTTTCAGATTTTTTTTTCTACGTCTGCTGTGTTTTATTCAGCCCCTGTTGTTTTTGTGTGGTTTTGCAGCAATTTTCAATTGGTTGATGTTTTCTGAAGTTGCACTGACCTCTCAAGGCCACTGTGTATTACCCCTTCATACATCCTGTTGACTAAAGCCTATTTACTAATATAAAGAAATATATTAGAATTTTAAAAAAGCTCATACAAACATCAGCAATCACTTTTTAGCAGACAAAATGATGATCATTCATGATTTTATCTCTTTTCATTTGGATTGCTGCAACAGACAAATCAGCTTTAGATTGCCTTCAGACTGTACAGAATGCTGCAGTAAGATTTTATTAGCAATAACAGAAAGATCCCATATTACTCAAGTTTTGACTTCTCTTCATTGGTTGCCAGTAAATTTTAGGTTTCATATAAAAATTTTAGCTTTAACTATTAGAGCTCTACACGGTGAAGTATGTCTTTGAACTGTTGAAACTTCATGCTTCTTCCCGAGCACTTAGGTCTTCAGGTCAGAGGCTGCTGTTGGCCCCACGTGCTAGGTTTAGAACTTGTGGGGATCGGGCTTTTCAGGCAGTGGCACCAAGGTGTCTTTATGCTGTACAGACTTTATTGACTCATTAAAAAAGCAGCTGAAAACATTTCTATAAAGACGAGCTGCAAATGAATTTGTTTTCTTATATTTTCATTATATTTTTTATGTTTTTATTTTATTTTTCTGCTTATTCTCGTATGACTGAGCCATTAGCTTTTTCTGAATTTGGAGGTCGATTTGTCAAGCTAAGTGTGTCTAGTGTGTGTGTGTGTGGGGGGGGGAGTTTCCAGTTGTGCTCGGCTGAATGTCTGGGCGTGATGACAGGCTCAAGAAGCTGAAAAACTAAGGTGACTGAACTGCTTTATAATTTGTTTTGTTTTTTAAGACTTTCACTCTCATGCAAAAGGCTTCTTCAGACCTTTGCTCAACTAAAGTGATGGGCCCGCTTATTCAAAGAAACTCGAGTATGTGTCTATACAGTCTTCCTTTTTTAGTATTTGTTTTATTCTTTTATAAGCTAATTTTATTATAAATACAACTATGTTTACTGTTACTGTATTTATCCCATGAGCTTCTTCAGAATCAGAATCAGAAAGGGTTTTATTGCCAAATGTTGAGCGGGTTTACAACATTAGGAAATTGCTGCGGTGCTTCAGTGCAAACATACTGTTATAAATTACGCTTAAATAGACATGAAAACAAAAATAAGAATAAGAATTAAAAGTGCTAAGTAGATAGATAGATATATACATGATATATACATGAGTGCAGGTGGTGATCAGTGCCAAACATGGAATGATGCTTGTGCTTGTGCTTGTATGTCTGAGCTCTGCAAGTTTTTTACTTTACTAAAAACAAATTTCTTCTGACGTTTGTGCTTTTGGTGTCAGGTAATGGGAGAAATGGATTTCCCACTGGGAAAATGAATGTGGCCTCTCCAGGTTGGAAAAACATCTTAGAAAGTCAGAGGTAATTTCCCTGCATTCATGTGGCTTCTTGGGTTGTTAAAATTCATGAATTGCAAACTTTTTTGTATTCATGAGGAATCAACATGGACACAAGATGGAAAAACTTTTCAATTTTCAGTATTTAAAGTCTGTTGATGGCTGTTTCCACAACGGAAAACAACCTCTCCAAATGTAGCTCACACTAGGTGGACAGCAGCTAAATGTTAAAAACCTAATAACAAATTAAAGGTAACCTTTAGCAAAAAAAGCAATAATATTAAACAATTATTCTGACAAACCAAGTATAAACTTTCAATTCAGTTCAATTCAGTTTTCTTTACATAGCGCCAAATCACAACAACAGTCGTCTCAAGGCGCTTTATATTCTAAGGTAGACCCACAATAATACATACAGAGAAAAACCCAACAATCATATGACCCCTATGAGCAAGCACTTTGGCGACAGTGTGAAGGAAAAACTCCCTTTTAACTGGAAGAAACCTCCAGCAGAACCAGGCTCAGAGAGGGGCGGGGCCATCTGCTGCGACCGGTTTGGGTGAGAGAAGGAAGACAGACAGACAGTGAAGACTTTCACTTTATCCATCCGTCTATTATCTTCCCTTTATTCTTATTAAGGTTGTGACAAAATTTTCCTGGGAGAAAATATAATTTCCTGTGCCACATGTCCTGGTCTGAGCATTTCAAAAACTGCGGATCTTATGGGTTTTTCCCATACAACCTGTCTGTGGGGTTTAGAGAGTGGTCCAAAAAAGAAAATATGTGGTGAGCAGCAGTTCTCTGGTAGAACATGCCTTCTTCATGCAAGAAGACAGGAGAATTTCTGATTTGAGCTAACAGAAAAGGAAAAGTAAGGCAAATAATGAAAGTACCGGTATGTGGAAGAGGATCTTTGAATGCACAACAAGCTGAACTGTGAAGGAGATGGTCTACAGCAGCAGAAGACCACACCAGGTGCAAATCTGTCAGCTGAGAACAAAATGCTGAGGCTACATTTCACACAGGCTTGCCAGAATTGGACAATAGAAGATGTGAAGATTCTGATGAGTCTCAGTGGCTGTCTCATGGCTGCTTCCACCATGTCACCAACCTCAATTCTGGTTCTCAAAAAACAATGAGTTCACTGCACTCAAATGGCCTCCACAGTCACCAGATCTTCATCCAGCAGTCACCTTTGGGATGTTGTGGAGCAGGAGATTGACATCATGGACGTGCAGCTGACAAATCGGCAGTAAATCTTTGATGCTTTATGGATCAAAATCTCTGATAAATGTTTCCAGCACATTCTTGAATCTGTGCCATTAAGAATTAAGGCTTCTCCGAAGGCACAAGGGGTCCAACCCAGTACAAGCAAGGTGTACTGTATAAAGTATCCAGACTGTGTGTGTACATTATTTCCAGTTAAAATGGTGGTCTATGTTCTGTATTATTAATAATTGAGACAGGATATCAATAATAATACTCTAACATGCAGCTGTAGCTGTGAGCACAGGGGCCCCACCCACCCTCACTTCAAATCTTCCGGTTACGAGGAGCTGCCAATCAGAAGAAAGGTGTGT